CAAATTTTGGGTCTAACTTTGCTGGGTGATGTTTGGTGCAAGCTCTGAGGAGCCGTTGGCAGGCGCCTGGCGCATCATTGAGCCCGCTGCAAGCACAGCTGGAGCCAGTTGAGTTTTCAAGGAGATACACAAAGTACCTCTTCATCCTAACACCTAAATATTCCCACCAGCCAAATAGGCTGTGAAATGCTGGTTTTGGGTTACAGTCTGGTTGAATGCAGCTTTCATGGATCGATCTGCTGATTTTGAAATATAACGCTGTAATATTTCCACAGAGTTTCGTAATAAGGAAATATAATTTCTAACGGCCACGTTCGTCTTACAGTTACCAAACAGTGTTGCCCAAATCTCTGCAGTTGGGGCACTTTCCTTCTGGCTGTGGTGGGCTGCAGGATGGCACTGTGTGGGAGCAGTCCAGCAGCAGAGGAGCTCTGAGGGGAACACCTGGAGATACGTGGCAGGGAAAGGTTGGCCCAGCCCTCTGTGTTCCTGTGTGAGAAAAAGCTACTGCGTCAGCAAAAATTCAGGGTGTGAAAGGAGAAAGATCAGGGGAATGCAACCCAGCTAACCCAGCTGTATTTCCTAGGAGAACGCTGCAACACAACTATACATAATTGCTATGTCCAGCTAATCTGAGTCCCCCTTGGGTGAGCAGAAGTCAGCCTGAGAAATACACTCCAGCCCAGTTTCTCAAACTTTACTTTAGTGCACACCCTTTGGGGCTCCTTGGTGTCTGTCAGAGTAAAAAAAGAACTAGCAGTTAATTCTAGTTTTGTGTAGACATTTCCTGCTGCACCCCAGCAGTCAGGGGTAGTCAGCCTTTCCAGAGCCACCCTAAACTCTCCCATCCTGGTGTTGCATCCTTCTTATCCCTGCAAGAACTGATTGTGATTTTGAGACTGGTATTTTCATGGTATTGCTCTAAGTTGAAAGCTTGAAATAAAGATTTTTCGAGGCTTTGCAGTCCCTTCCTGCAAGAGACCTACAGTCCACAGTGCAAGGAGGAACTGGTTTCTCAGATACTATAAAATGAATATGAAACTGCCTGGAAAACCATTGCCAGGGAACTTGACAGTAGCTCACTGTTCAGCTGAAAGAATTTATCAAGTAAGTCCCTTGTTTTGGCTTGGATAATGGAATCGAGAATGTGCTTATTGAATTTGCAGAGAGTACTGAGCTGGGAATGGGTTTGAGAGCTTTGAAGAGCTGGATTAGAGTCAAAACAAACTCAGCAGATTGACCCAATGGGCTGAACGAAATCTGATGCAGTTCAGTAAGGAGAAATGCAGAGATTACACTGAGGTGAGAACAGTTGAGTGCATGAAAATGGAACGAGAAGGTCCAGGCTGTGTCCTGTGGAAAGATGAGGTGAGCGGCAAGAACCACCTGAGCCCTAAAGCTGGTGCAGTTCCAGCTTTATGTGAGGTTTTACCCTGTCTGTGTTCATGCCTTCAGTTCAAACTGTCCCCCAGGGTTGAGGTCGAGGTGTGTTCTACCTCTTGCACCAGGCAAGCTGTGTGCAGGAAACTTGTAGTGGCACTACAGATGGTTTTCTGCCAGGTTTAACTGAGCACTCCTGCAGGTTTCAGTTTGTCATTTTGGCAAGCCAAAAATCTTTCCCCACAGCTGGTTTCTCACTCCTTGTGATGCTCAGTGGTTGCTGACAGAGTGCAGCATCACAGCTGGTCTCAAGTCATGAGGTTACCAGTGCTCCAAAGGGCCTCTATGCAGCTCCTCTGTGATGTTTCATTCTCAGGAGGTAATTCTTCACCTTTTTGCAGGTGGTGGAGCTCCAGGTTTCCTTGTCAGGTGCTTGTTAAATCTCCAGGGCTTGCAAATTACTCTTTGGAAAGCATGGCAGGAGAGGGAGGTGGACAATAGCCTCAGGCCTTTCCTTTTAGTTTCCAAGAGGAATTCTGGGTAGTATCTCTGTGGTATTGTTTTGTAGCTTCATTGTGGTTTGTGTTCTTTGAGTTTCTGTTTACAAGTTGCTAAATGTGTTTTTAAACTCACTCTGTAGCATTGATACTCATTTAGTCATTTTGATATAGATTACATCCAAAACAAGATAACCAGCATAATCTGCTTTCGTCTGCTGCAGTGACCATCAAAGGCTTTTATGGATTCAAGCTCAGAACCCTGCATCTTTCTAAATTAATTTTTGTTAACCTTGTGCCATTTCTGCATGTGAACAAAGCCTAATTTATATGCACAGCGTGGCCTAAGAGCCAGACAGTGACTTTAGTCTGGGCCCTGCTTTAGGACATGATTTTCTTTATGTATGCCTTTGCTTTCCTCTCTCTCTGCATTATCTCTTTTGTCAGTAACTGTTTTCAATTATCAGTTTTTTCCTTGTCTGTCTGCACTCAGCAGCCTGTTTACCACGACCCAGTTTCGGAATGCTCGCCACTTCTTGCCAGAGAGGTGGTAACTCAGTGCCCAAGTTACGTGGGGAGAGCAAACAACACAGAGCTTGTTCAGATTGTCCCAGCTTGGATGTTTTGAGCCCTGTGTCCCTGTGACTGTTGGGGCTCACGTTCTTCCTTGCCCGCCATCCATCAGGGCAGCAGCTTCCTGCATCTGCTGAGAGCTCCTTTTATCCACCAACTCCCAAGCGATTAATCTTATTTCATAAGAAAAAAAAATAAAAAAAGCCCAAACAAACAGACAACATACTTTCTCCTGGCTCTGGGAATTCTTGCTTGAACATGGAACCCCTTTGGGAAGAGGCCAAGCTGGCTGGCAGCTCCCTGGCTATGAATCCTCCGTTTGTGGCCCCACAACAGTGCCCCGGAAGAGCACGGTGGATGTTTGTGGAAGTGGCCAAGCGACTGTGAGACCCAGGCTGCTGGAACAGTGGGCATATTATAGCTGGAAAAGGCAATTTCTCTGCCAAATCTTATTGTGCAAGAGGGTTTATTCTTTAGCCTTGCAAAGATTTCACTTTGTTGGTTCCTTTTTCGCTTGCTCTCTGAGAATTGAGAAAGAGGTGGCAGTGCTGCCATGGAAAATGAGCCCTCAGCTCCTTGCCTTACCAGAACAGAGCTCTGCTGCGCTCAGATGTCCAACGTGCATGAAAGCAACCAGCTGGCATCCTGCTCCTCATTAATGTGTTAGATTTCCCTGCTTTTTCTTATGCTTTGCACACTTTTTGACATATAATCTAGCTCAGTAGACCGTGTTGTGCAGCACCAGGAAGCAAATGTGGAGCTCGCTTTGGGTGTGATACTAAATAAGGTATCCCTTGCATTTCCTGCGGAAGAAAAAGAACATCTGTGTGAAGAGACATGTTCCTGTAGCAATGGTGGGTTTAGGGTGCAGAGCTTTCTCAGATTATTAAGAAACGATTAACAGAGTTGGGTAAAGACCACATAGACCCTGTGAAATAAAATACCCTTCTGTGTGGAGCTGCTTTTCCTGACTGCCAGGAACACCTCCCTTCCTGTTCTTGGAAAACAAGGGCCTGGCTGAAAGGCTGAGCTAACTGGGCTGACGTCCTCCAAGAAATGTTAAAGGCCTTGTGGTTGCTGCAGGATATTGTATCATCAGCTGCTGTAACACTTGCCTGGCTGAAATAGCCTTCCAGCTACAGGAAGAAGCCATCCAAAGGCTGGCTCAGAGGTGACGGAAGAGAATATTCCTCTAGTCTGGGGAGAACAGGAGATCTGAAAAAGTCTGTAAATTGTTTTCCCATTTGTGTTTAATTCCTACTGAAAAAGAAGGGTGAAGATTTGTAGATGGGGCTGATCTGCTGGTTTGTCAACCATCACATGGAAACCAGTGAAGCAGACAGTATCTGGCCAGCATCTGGTAGCAGGCAGTAGCTGGCTGACAGCAGATGATGGACAGACACTGGAGGATCAGTAGGAAGAGGAGGATGTGGAGGGCAGTCCCCTCTTGCTGGCGCACTGGCCTGGATGTGTGCTGCCTTTCCTTCTTCATTGTGACCTATTGCAGCAAACTTAGTAATGGTCACTTCTCTTGAAAGGTCTGCTGGCTTCCTGCTTCTCCCTTTCCCCTCCCACGACCCGAAGCTGCCACAGCCACGCTGTTTTCCGTGTTCCTGCTCTTCCCCTGTGCCTGCTCTGTCTTGCCTGCCTAGATCCATCCCACAGGGCTGGATCTGTCTGTTGCTCTGTTGGTACAGTGCTCACCTTCCTGAGGCCCTGGGGCACTGCTGTAGTAAGTGTGATTATGGATAACCTGGATAGCCGAGGAGGGAGGGAATTCTGGCTTAATCCTCCCAGCCTGCATCCTAACCGGGGAGCTGCAGAGCTCCTCTCTTCCCAGGCTGGTCACTGGCAGGGTGCTCTCTTGAAAGGCAGCAGGTGTCTTGTTCCTTAAATCAAAGGTATGGAAACCCAGACAGCATCTTCCAGCTTCACTGGGATCAATCTTAACTGTGTCAGAGGAGTTCTGGAGGCTGCCTGAACCCTGGGCACAGCCAGCTCTGAGATGGACCATCAAAGCATCAGGCACACGCTACTTGCACAAGCCAGAACTAGGAGGTATTTTGGGGGAGGTCAAGGGTTCTTCCCTTCTCCAGTGCTGGGAGCTTCTCTGGGAATTTAAGGGTGGTTTGCAGTGTGTGGTGAGGGAAAGGAAATGGATTTCTTATGTGGCTTTCCATAACAATTGACATCACAGCTGAAGATGTTGGAACATTTCCAACATTGATTCTGATTGCTAAAAGTGCTTAAACTGCTTAGCAAAACTAAAATAAAATCCTGGTTTGAAATACAGTCAGTTTCTGTGTGTTACTGTTCCTCATACTGAATTATTACAAATACTGTTTTATAAGACAGTTCCAAAAAAGGTTGCCTTGGGAAAACTGCCATGGGAAGCCCGTGGAGGTGAGGAAGAGCATTGGGTTCCTAAGTGGGCAGACTTATTGTGAAGTTGTTCTGCTCATGACTCATTCTGGATGCAGTTTTTCCCTGCACAAGAGCAATGTGCATGTGTATAATCCCAGTGTCTCTGTGCTCTCTGCTGTGCTGCAGGTGGCTGCTGTGGCTCTGATCAGAAGCAGTATGTGTATGGAGGCTGGGCTTGGGCTTGGTGGTGCATTACTGACACTCAGAGGTAAGGAGACCCCTGTTATTTATGGGTTTTTTTGGAGTAGGAATTAGGCAAAGCAATCCCAATGGGGCTGTCAGCAGTATCTTTAGGAACATGGGACTGGATATGAAACCATGGATGAGCATCAGAGTTCTCTGCTGACTGTTTGCATGGGGACAGCTGTGTGTACACAGTGCAAAAGACACAGAAAAAGAAATCTCATGCTTTCAGCTGAAGTACTTTTCAAATGGCCTCTCTGTCCACACCTCTCCTCAAACCCAGGGCAATCATGTTTGCTTGGGTTTTTTTCCTTTTTAGTTGTGGTTTTTTGTTTGGTTTTTTTTTTTCATAAAACTCATCAAACTGAGAGAGCCATAACCTGACTGGTCAGTGTGTTTCTTCCTGTGCTGGTGCAGTGAGTGCTGAAGAGGGAGAGAGCTCTGCTGACCTTCCCAGCTCTGAGGCTCTGGCAGAGGTGCTGGCAAGGGCACTGGGCTGGCTCATCCACGAGCTCACAAGAGAAGCCAAGTTCTGCCCAGTATGGCCCAACCCCTCACCCAGTAACAAACCTGTTTGTGGCCTGCAGTGCCCCCTCCTGCTCCTCAAGTCTCTCTTTCTAAAGATCTGCTGACTGCTCTCACCTTGGGAGCAGATTGTTCCGATTTAAAACCGTGGGACTGCCTTTCTCTCCCTTTTCTCAGTCATGGATTGTGCTTGCTGCTGCTTACGGTCTGCTCTCTGAGCTAACACGCTGTGGTAGTGCTCCTGTCCTGCTAATACAACTCTTTGTCTCTAGGATCTGTAGGAATGCTAACTCTCTCCCAACACATCCCTCATGCTCACCAATACATGCAGGCTTCCTCCATCTGTGTAAAAAAAATAACAGGGCAAAGGATAAAGATGTGACTTTTGGGTTTTGCACTGAGTGATGGGCAGAGGTTGTAGTTAACCCTTACTTGCCTGGTCTTCCAACCTCTTTTCCCTGTTCATGTGTTGCCACCAGCAGACAATTGAGCATGTTGCTGCCCTCACTCTGCAGATGATACACTGCTCACCTGGGAGTCATGCACCTTCTCTTGCTCCAAGGGATCTTGGCTGCTGCTGTGTTTAATCCAGACAAGCTTCATTCCCGAATTTTTGTGAGACATCTTGTTGGGAGAGCTGTTAATTGAACAAATGGTTCCTGCTCCTACTCTTCTTACGTGAGAAGTGCAGAGAACGATGTGGGACCTTGACCTGCTGAGTGCAGGAGGTAACAGATATATTTGGGAGGCTGATTTATTAAGTTAAGGATAGGCTGAATCCAGGGCCAAAACTGCTTGCCAGGAATGAGCTGTTATGTGGGAGAGATCTGGGCATTATTTAGCAAATGGGTCTCTTGACAGGTATTCCAGCACCCAGACAAATCTTTTACTTTAAAATCTATACCCCCGGTTCACACCACGGGATATGGGGCTTAATTCTCCCTTCGAAAACAGAGCCTTTCCCAAATGCCATAAGCTGTGCCCCAGATGGAGCCCACTGCATTAACATGAAGAGTGAGGCAGATTTCCTCCTCTGAAATTAGGACATTTTTTCTGGAACTGCCAGTGCTGCGAGCAAGAGAGACAGCAGCAATTGTGTTGCTGTCAGCGGCGTCCCGCCAGGTAGCACTAACCTGGGAACAAAAGGAACAGTTAGAGCTGGCAGGGTGCTGGGCACTTATTTTGCTGCAACCTTGAGCACTGGGGAAAAAACAAGGAAAACAAAACGCTGTCCTTGTTTAGGGATCAGAAATAAAAGCAGGGAGAGAGACAGCATGGTCTAATGTGCCTCTGGGGGAGCCAAATGGTGTTAATTCAGCTTCCCAGGACAGCACTTGGAAGCAGATTCTCTCCTCAATGCCTTAGCCAGGGGTGGGTAGCCAGGTCTCTGCCACTTTCGTTTTTCCTGGCCTCTCTTAAATATTGACATAGAAGCATCTAAATTATTACGAAAAGGAATTTTCTGTGTGCAAAGATTACTTCAACAGAGAATTCCAGCTGACTCCAGGCTGGCTGTCCAGGTGGGATAGATGGTTCAGTTTCATGTGCAGGGTGGAGATGAGACCCCAACCTGCCTATCCTCATTAAAAGAGGCAAGTGGATGGTGTAAACTCCCCACCAGAACTAGGAAAGCTGATCTGCCCCGTCATTATGGAGCCCTGGGAGTGGGCAGTGGGAGAAAGGCAAACTGAGCAGGGAAAAGCTGAAACCTGAAAGTCTCGTCTGTCCTTTGCAATGAGTGTCTTACTCTCTGGTAACTGCTTTGTGTATTTGCTGTCCTACCCTTATTCCTCGCTGCTCAGAGTGTCTTTGGAGGTTATGACCATCCTCTGTCGCTGCGAGAATGTTGAGACGTCGGAGGGGGTCCCACTGTACGTAACAGGGGTTGCACAGGTAATAATCCACCAGCTTCCTAACATCCTGTCTAACTGTTTGTCCCTCTGTTTTGAGCAGCAGCAGCAGCAGCAGCAGGATAACACAAAACCTAATGGTTTTCTAACGGGACAGAAATCTCAATACCCTCCTCTCCTTCCCCTTCTCCAGCACTTGCCCTGAGGCACTCCACAGTTTATAGGTAATGCAGACAGGTGCATCCTTGGCAAATCCCAAATTCAGCATTGCTGTACCTAAGATTTGCTCCTGCTGTAACCCTTTCCTTGCCAGCACTGTTTCCACTGTGTGCTTGGTGGAGAGCAGAAGGGCATCTGCTTTTGTGTGGAGGCACAGGCAGGCCAGGTTGGATTCTGTACAGGATTTGGGACAGGTGGGAAGGCAGGTTTTGTGTCGTTTCAAAAGGAAACCTGTACACGTGTAGGAAAATTGCAGCTGTACCTGGCTCTGCAGTTTTGGCTATGGATTTCCACTCAGCCCTTCTTCCTCCACATGGAGACAGTGCCCATTTTGGATGTCGTCACGTTTGAAAGTACAGCACAGAGACCTCGGATGAGCGGCAGCACACAGGACTGGCATTGGCACTGTGGGCAGTTATGAGCCAGCAATGACCCAACATCTCTGTGAACTGCCAGCTAAGCAGCAGCACAGCTTGGAAATCAAATTCAAAGTGTAGATTAGGTTTTCAGAAGGCTGAAATGCTACAGTATCTGATTAAAGCTCTGAATGCACATGGCAAAAAATGCCTGTGCACGTCCTGGACAGTGGGATCTGTTTTATCAGCTCCCGGTTTGCGTGCCAGTTTAATTAGGACAGTGGCCAAGGCAGGCATGAACTTGCAGGGATAGGTTTCAGCACTTCCAGCCAATCCTGGAGCGACTCAGCTTGCACACAGCAGCCCAGGGCAGCCCCTTCATGGTTCAGATGTTTGACCTAATGTTCACTGACACAAGCTCTCTGCCCTGTGGCTCCCTGTCCTGACTCCCAACGCCTTTCCGGCTCGTTATGGCTGACACAGGAGCTTCCTGAAACAGAGCCTGCCGTATCCAGGCATGTCTCTTGTTTTTACAGATTGTGACCTGCAGACTGCTGGGTCTGACCAGAGTACCTCATGCCCACCTTGGGTGACTGAGAAAGCTCTGGAGCTGCAGGATCTGTTCCTGGGTGCCTGATGCTCTACAGACCTGGCCTTAAAGAGCTGGAGACTCATTTCCATTTGCCTTTGGGTCATGGAAAACTGGAAAAATAGAGGGAGAGATGAACCAGATCAGGGGGTAGGTCTGTGGTAGTGCTAATCCAGGGCTACTTCTTGCAGCATCAGTGCCAGGTTCTGCCAAACACAGGGCTCCTGTGCAGCGAGTGGGAGCATCCCAGTTCCGTGCTGTGCTTTTAAACCAGTGACACCATCCTGCACTGCTGCGGCATTGGGCAGTGCAGCACAGCGAGCCTCTGACTGAGGGCCCTTTGGAATCCCAAAGCTGCCAGCTTCTGGCCCTTCACCTAGCCCAGCAGGAGGCAAAGGGTCACAGGATCATTTCCAGCCTTTGCTGATAAATTGCCTTTAAGCATTACGTGAAAATCTACTTCTTAGCCAGAGTGCCGTGTCTGTCTCCAATCACAGATATGCTCCCTCGGCTGCATTCTGTGCCTGTCTTGCATTACCTGTGAGGAGTGTGGCAGGTAGCCCGGGGCAGGAGATGCAAAGGGAAGAGGTGAGTGTGTGTAACCTGGAAACGTGCAAATATTTTACGTTTTTTGGCAGGATTTCCCTAGAGATAATGACGTTACAGCCCAGGTGTGAGGACGTAGAGACGGCGGAGGGGGTAGCTATAACTGTCACAGGTGTGGCACAGGTACAGTAACTCCAAAACATCATTTCAGGAATGCATGTCTCTAACTTACCTCTGGTTTTGCCCCTTAAGAGGTTGCTGTTGTCCAGGCAGAGAAGCCAACTGCTCTGAAACAAACCCTTGTGCAAAACCACGCTGTCCTTGTTGGTTCAAACACACTCCAGCATGTCCCGTGTGGTGATGGGGGTTGTGACCTCTTCTTCTCTCCCCATAATCATTTTTTTCTGGTATCTCATTTGTCCCTGTGGCAAATGAGGTGTGTGGGGGTGACTTGATGTGTTTGTGGAACGCTGATGTGCCACAATGCCCTTGGACCCATGTGTGACCCCACAGGACTGAGCTGTTCCCTCCAGAGATGGCATCGAGCATTATAGTGCTTTGTATTATTATTATTAGCACGTGGACCTTGTAATTCTTCATGGTGAGTTAAAGCTTAAAAAAAATAACTTAGTCCCTCCAGGCACTAAGATTTGCGTGTGAAATTTCTGGCTTGAATTGAATTTTGATTCTCTCCAGCCTTCTTCAAATGTAAGCACCAGCTCTTGCTGCTTGTGACAGCACACTGAACCCTTCTGGGAGTCTGAGGTCTGCTGCCCTGGTACAGTCTGTCCTTGTGCCCAAGTCACACCCCGGGGAGGATGCTGGGAGGGAATTGTTAGCTTTTGAGCGAATTTGGCCCCGTGAATAGGCAGCTGCATGGTTTGAGAATTGCTCCTGACAGCTCATTCTGGGTGTATAAACCAAGAGTGGCTCTCAGTGCACAC